CTTTTGATTTTGAACAACTTTTATTTTTGGAATGTTTTTAGTTTTACAAAAATTGGGAGTAATTTGAGTTTCAATATTGGCAATTCATGAACGTTTTGAAATTTCAAATCAATACAAAGATTTCGAACTTGATTCAAACAATACCAAGCAATATTTGTAACATAAAGGTAAACTTGTTTTAGTGAATGCATATCAAAGTTTGTAATATGATCGATGCCTTGCAATGCATATGATGATATGTTCGGTTTTTAATATTTAAACACCCGGGGTGTTACATTAAACCTCCTAGACATCATTGGCCTTCCTGCCAAACATATTTTCTTTTGTTGCCTTCTTCATAATCATCCCACTCTTGGTCAACAACTCGCTTTCCAAGCCGATCTTGAACACTTTTATTTTTTAAGCGACGATCCATGTTATTATGATAATATGCATCGAGTATGGATAGACCGGCGGTTGGTTTGAGACTGCCTAAACTCCTAATACTGATTGCTGCATTCTGGATAATCATGTCTGGTAGGCAACTTCAAACCTTTATTCCGGCAATGTCTAAAGAAAGGACAATTCCGATGTGATTCGGCTTGTTTCCTTTCATACCTCTCTTCTTTTAGTTGATGCTGGTATGCTTAATCCTTTAACCAACGCTGATAATTCTTTTTCTTCTGCCGCTGTCACTTATTCAACAGAATCCGAGATGTAACTCGCGGCTTTGTCGTCCCTGCTTTTGACATCTTCCCTTGCTCGTATCGGCTCTTTTGCTTGGCGCAACGTTTTCTAATTTCTCTGTACTCGTCAGCCGATATTTGCATCTTGGGATCGACTGTTCCAACTTCTTTTAATTTGGTTGATGTTAGGACCTTAGTCTTTGCTATGAGAAGCCCAGCATCAGCCATGTTTAGATCTCCTGGGAAAAGATTATCATCAACTTTCATTTTTCAAAGCGTATCAAATTTGAGCCTCCCCTACTGAATAGCCCTCTGTATATGCTGTCGGAAAATTCTGCATTCATTGGTGGAATGAGAAGTAGCATTATGAAACTTGCAGAACTTCTTATTCTTCAACTGATTAGGGGGCAACATGACATGACCATCGGGCAACTTGATCTGCCCCTTCTCGAGTAAGAAATCGAAGAGTTTGTCTGATTTGGTGACATCAAAGTCATAGCTCTCCTCGATTCCTCTTCCCCAAGGATTTGACACCATTACTGTCTTCTTGCCCCAATTCTATTCAGCCGCAACAACCTCTTCTTCTTCATCTTCATAGCCGTCATCGACTGAGTATGGATCATAAGTTTCGGCTACTGTGGTACTTTTCTGGAATCGAGTATCTTTGCGCATACTCTGGAATTGGCTGTTGAGCGCTGCTACTCGTTGAGCCAATTGACCCAAGTTGTCAAATTCTTGTCCCAGCAGCTTTTCTTTCCATATTGACAGTATTCCTTGAACAGCTAAAGCAGCTAGTTGATCATCAGCCAAGTTTAAGGAGAAGCACAAGTTCTTGGTTTCTCGGAACCTCTGAAGAAATTCAGTGCCCGATTCATTAGTCCTCTGTCTTGTAGTTATCAGATCGGTAATCTTCTTTTCTCCAGTCCTAGTGTAAAAATATGTATGAAACTTCTTCTTTAGGTTAGCCCAATTGGCAATGGAATTGACTGTTAGTGATGAAAACTAAGTGAAGGCTGACCCTGATAAGGACAATGAGAAGAAACGAACTCGATGAGCATCCTCAACTGATGTTTCACCCAATTATGTAAGATACCGACTGACATGTTCTATCGTGCTTGTACTGTTTTGGCCAGTGAACTTAGCGAACTCTGAGAGCCTGTAATTTGTGGGAAGAGCGACCAAATCATACCATTCTGGATATGGACGTTTGTACGAGAAGGTCAACCCTTTTAGCTTCAGACCGAACTAATTCTTCATCATCTCGATCACCTTCAGCAGCAACTCATCAGTATTTGAATATGGATTTCTCTGCACCTGCTGACCCATCTGTGGATTGAAATGCTGTGTGTCTTGATACCCTGGATTCGGAATCATATGAAGGGTGTTATAATCTGCGCCATAATGATACCCTTGTGGAATCTCGATCTGCTGAGTCCTTTGCTGGATTGCTGCTTGAAGTCTCTGATTGTAGACATAAGAATCTATATCTCTACGGATCCTTTGAATTGATGGTGCTATTTTTTGAGCCAACGACGGTATGTGGCCTGATGTGCTAAAATTGATCACCTGGTTCTGACTTTGCCCCGCCGGCTATTGCACATGCTGTACTGACAGTCCAGGATTGTACTGTATCTGATTTGTAGTAGTTCCTTGAGTCTGTTCAGATGAACCCTGAATTGCCTGGACGTCATCATTACCAGCTGGTGCTGCTTCTTGATGGCTGGTACCGACTTGATTAGTCCCTTGGGTCGACAAATCTAAAATATTGTAATAAGCCGGCCCACCTTGAACAACTGAAAACCTATGAATCGCCTCTCTCATGGCGTTGTGCAATATGTCCAAGAAAGCTTCGTTATACCTTGATATGGCATCATAAACAGATTTGTCTACAACTTCCTTAAAGAAACGTCTGTCTTCATCTTCAGTTGTATCCGTCTGCCCGTGTAATAGAACTCTTGGTAGTGGAAATTTCTGAACAATTATGTTGTCACGTGTTTTGGTGTAGGACAATAAACACTTGTTCTGAAACTCTTCTGTAGCTTTGCTGATGATACCCTTATCTCCATCAGGTAGATCTTCATAATGCAGCATAAGGATGTCATTGTTGTTGTGAACCGCCATGACGATTGTGGGGTCCCACCAAGCGTGCCACAAACGTGTGTCGATACAGAATTTTGTCCCGTGCCGAGGACACACGAGCAAGCCTGAAGGGTCTGCTCGATGGAACTGTAGATCCGCCAAGCTTCAGCGTAGGGATAGTCGATCCTGCGCAATCCTCCCGAGACATGCCAGTCAATTTGACCCTGTAATTGACAAGGAGAGAAAGTTTATCAGTAATTAAGGGCGAAACATGCTGGTGTTGCCAGACAGTCCTGAATGTGCGGCTCTGAGAGCCGATATGAAAGAAGATCGACTAAATAGTCGATTCCAGCATATTCGTGAGAATAAATCGGTTAAAGCTTATGGAGTTGTGTAAGAAGAATCGATTATCATTCTGGATGAATATCATTGTTTTAGACAAATATTGGTCACTGGTAAAAAGATATCAACAATAATTAATTCATGCTAAGCCAATGACTGCAAGTAACCGAACTCCTTTATAAAAGAAACAGTTCATCATCATTCAACCGTTTAATAGAGATAAATCTAATGAACATGTTAGATCTCATCTATCGCTATGACCAGTGGGGCATGAGGCAGAATCATGCAGGCCGTAGAAATAACAATAGACTCGACGACCCTAACTTATTACTAATATCAGTGGGGCATGAGGCAGAATCATGCAGGCCGTAATACAATAATAAGATCATGGGGCTAACATATCTTTCAACCTATCGCTACTTTAACGATCTCGTGATGCGAACTGTTCGTGAAAGCGCTCGATATCGGCTAAAACAGACGATTCAGGCATAGCGCACAGTTAATGTCATGTCATCTCAGGAACGGATCTACCAAATAACGATCCCCACTCCACGGTGCTAATAGTGGGGTGTGAGGCAGAATCACACAGGCCGTGATAACAGGCTATGGAACAGTTTCGCTAGCCAATAGATCTACTCGAGATCAAACACGCCTTAACCGCACGCTATACACGATCAAGATTGATGTAAAACAGTCGATAAAACATAACTCATCATTTAAAGTATAGATTAGATCAGTTTAGATTAACAAACGATGGGTTAAAAAAGATATAAAGCCGATCTAGATCAATCCTAATCGGACGAAGTGATATTGCTGTAATTAAATAAGCAATGAAAGCAATAAGCAATATCAGTAACTTAATAAATCTATCCGAAGGAACGCCACCCTTAAATAGAGCCGATAACTTGACCTTAATTTAGTTCGAGCAGTGGAGGTCGACCGGATCGATGCAGTCGTACTTGAACTAGACAAGAGTCGATAACTAACTCATACCAGAGTCGCAGTGGAGGTCGACCGGATCGATGCAGTAGTACGAACAAAGGTATAAGCCATGACGGTACTTACAGACAAGCAGTGGAGGTCGACCGGATCGATACAGCCGTACTTGCTGAAGAACTCGCCGAGATCTACTCTACTCCTACTTCTAAGGGGTGGCCGAAGCCGAAAAAAGTAAATAACTGGTATTTGATTGATTGTGTGTCTCTTACAATAGTCGGACTTTGATATTTATACCCGGAACCTGCGCATGACTCCTATCTAAGCACGACTCATCATAATTTTTGACCCTAGAGAAAACATTCATAATTTAAGATAACTTAGACTCTAATCTTTCCCTTTTTTAGAGTCCAACATGTCTCGTCCTGACGCCGATCATAGCCTTTGTCGTTATCTGCTGGCGCTATATGAAGAAAGCTGATTTCAGCGTCGCATTCGAATGAGCTGATTCCAATCTGCACGTAATTGATTCCTTGATGACATGATCTTGGAAGCTTTCGAGTTCCAGCGACTCTCCTTCTAAATTTTAAATTTTAGTATAAACACTGTTGTTGGAGACAGTCTTCGTAACGCCAAACAATAATATGCATCTTTTTTTTTTAGAAAACTCTAAATGCCTTAACACCGCTACAGTGTCATCATAGCTTGCTAGCAGTAACGAATAGGAGTCGTTCGATAGGCAGATGGAGCGTTAGAGGATGTGTGATGATACTGTAGGCCTGTGGCGGATCGAAATCTAAGGATTTGATATGATTTGCGAAGGCTCCACTAAATACCTTAGGCCTCTATTTATACCATTAGATAAAACTAAAGTGAACAATAAGTTAGAGAAAAGGGATATGATATTTTTTATTTTTTAAAAAGTGGAAACGGCAACACAATAGTACAATAAGATTTCTTTATTTTTTTACAGTAGCAATGTACCGAGAACATATAGTAAGTGTACTGATCAACTGAATTATTAGCTGTTTTTTTAGCAACAATTGACTTTTTAGGAGGTGTTTGGTTTCTTCTCCTAAACTTTAGTCGCTGTCCCATCGGATGTTTAGACACATGCATGGAGTATTAAATATCGATTAATTATAAAACTAATTGCACATTTTGTGACTAATTTACGAGACGAATTTTTAAGCCTAATTAGGCCATAATTTGATAAAGTGATGCTACAGTAAACATATGCTAATGAAGGATTAATTAGGCTTAATAAATTCGTCTCGTGAAGTACTGAATGATTCTATAATTTGTTTTTTTTATTAGTATCCAAACACCCCATTCAACACCCTCGTATAACACCTCGTAATTTGAGTATATCACACACCCCAACCAAAACTAGGCAGCGTCACATACTCACAGCCTCACAGTCAACTCACAGGCTATATGTTTTGGACTCTTGGCCCAAACACGCTGCGTGGATGAGACCAAAGTAACATCCAGGCCTGCTCGATTCGAGGCCCAGTCGAATTTCTACTTCCAAACACAGGTCCGGAGTCCGAGTCCGGTCTGCGTTTACGTTTCGCCCTGTCTTTTCTACTCGGCTCACACCGCCTGCTCTCTCTCACTCTCGGCGATGGCTGGGCGACCGCCGCCGCCGTACTACGCCAGGTCTTCCGCGCTTCCCGAGGCCTACGCCAGGCCCTTCGCCGGCGAAGAACACCCATCAGGTACGCCCGCCCCTTATCTTCCCGTCCTGATGCGCGAAACCGAGCAGCCAAACCCTAACCACCCTCAGCTATTTGTCTGTTTGTAGAATTCGGATCTGATCTAATTACAAGTGCGTATACATGTCTACGTAATATAACTTCGACTTTATTTTTGCCAAAAAAAAAAACATCGGGTGTGTATTTATATACCCATGCCCTTTACTGGGTTCGCCCTGAAACTGATATGTTAGACGTTGGAGATTTTGTTTCTAGAGGTATTTGACATGATGACCGAGTGAGTGAGTGACATTGGATATCTGATTGCTATATCAAGCTACTAAGTAACTTTTTTGAGTGTTAAGTTTTGAGTAAATTATTAATTTAGTTATTTGTAAGACTACTTTTCAGGCCAAGTTATACACAGTGAAGATGAATATAGTACTCTGATACAATTCCATGCCTTAATGAGACATTCTTCATTTTTTTTGTTTCTCTTCCATTTTCTTTTTGTTGTTCTTGAGCTTTGCAATGATGTTCAGTTCTTGGATTAGAACTGATTGACATGTTTTTTGTTTTCACTGGCTAACTTCTTAACTTCGTTTGATTGGCAGATTCCCGAGTTGGTTATCCTAGTTATCTTGCACCCGAGGGCTCTGTAGCATCTTATTATGCTCCAAGACCTTCTGTTCTACCGGGTGGACCAGACGTTCTTAGAAACGACGTAATACAACTCAACTTTTGGAGGATTCAGAGGAAAGTAACCACCTTTATTTGACAAATGACTTAGTTTTGATCTACAGGTAATGTTGCAACCAAGAGCGTATGGTTATGATGGTCCAGCAGGAGTGATCAATCCTGCTTTGGCTGGCCTGACTGGACTACCTGCTGGAGCTATGTCACGAGGGTCTAGTGCTTTGGAAGACCCGTCTTTGGCTGGGCTGAGTGTACGTGCTCCAGCCAGGGCACTGGGACCTAGTCCTTTGAAAGAAGAACCAGATGTAGTAGGGAGAAGTTCTTCTCTAGGCACAGGTGCTAGTATTCCAGATGTTGAGCGCCACAGCTCACTTCCAAACTTTGATGGGCCCTCAGAAGATGAATCCAACATTCTTTTTGTCGATTGTCTTCCTACTGATTGCACAAGGAGAGAAGTTGCTCGTATCCTTTCCACTTAGTATTGTTCTGCATCGTATTTCCTCATCTTTGTAAGTTTCATTTTGCAAGCCTTGACTTTTGCTGGAAGATTTGTTCCGTGTTTTTCCTGGCTTCAAGGACATCAGAGTAGTGCACAAGGAGCCCAGACGTGTAAGTGATTGCCCTTTCAATGCATCATCGCTTCTCACTTGGAAAAATGGTTTAATTCTTCTTTGCTAGAATGCTACCTGCCCATTCTCTTGCAAATCTGAGCATTTGCACGGAATTCATATTTTTGAACTTGGCTTATGTTAAAGATATGGTTTATATAGTGCTCAATTTGAAAGCAAAAGAGCCGCATTTATTAGATTAAGAGGGGCGTACAGATTATATGAAGACAAAAACAAGAAACTGCACAAGCCACAAGGGGTCCTCAGATACAGATCTGAGTTTCTTAGCACCCATTTCTACCCACAGCCTGGTGATATATCCTTGACTTGGCAAATGAGTTATGTCACAACCTTTTCCATTTGTTGAAAGATTAGAGGTCCTTGCATTGCTCTCTTTCCATATTATGCTGATGGTTGTCCTTATTACTTCATGGCCACTTGACATAGATCCATTTTGTCATGTACATCAAATTTAGAGTGTTTCTACTTTCCAGTAGGTGGCCATTCTTAGAGAGTTGATTGTGCTTCATGGCCCCTGAGCATACATCCATGACATTGTGAGTCCACCAAATTGGGGGTATTTCCTCTCGGTGTGGTTGTTTTCTAGGAAGGGTGCTTGCATCTAGACTGCTACTGCATTCCAGACATCTAGGAGTAATGCAGTTAAGCACAGATGATAGGTTGTGGCCAAGGATTGTATGCATGATAGGGAAAAAAAATATTTTTGGGCCCTGCCCTGGCTAGTAACCCATCAGCTGGCAATATCTTTCCTTGGGCTACTAACCAAGCAAAGAACATGCATTTCGAGACTTTGAGATGGGTGGGTGGGTGTGTGTTGTTGGGGGGTCGTCCAAGACTCATATGGTCTTCATGAAATCTGCGGTGGTTTTTTTATGACATTGAGATCACTCACCATGCACTAAGTGAATGCTTATACACTGGAATAAATATTCTTTCCCTACATGGAAACAAAACAAATTTTTAATGAACATATATGGAATAGGAAAGTACTAGTGCAATATATTTATTGTATGTAAAACCCCTGTCAAGTTCTCTACTCTAATGTATTTCTTTCTAGGCCATTTCTTCAAATTCTTATGTGCTGACGTTAACATCTGCTGCTCTTTGTGTAATCACAAAAGCACAGAGCCCTTATTCCATACTTTGGTGACTTGTTACTTATTAGTGGTGGTGAATTTTCTGGTGCCGTCTTTTAGTGTTATTTTGAGTCAACTTTATGCATGTTATTTTCGTGCTGCTTCTTGCAGAGTGGTGACAAGGCTTATGTTCTGTGCTTTGTGGAGTTTGAGAATGCAAAATGTGCACGCGGTCCTATGAAAGAGTTACAAGGTTCCAATTCTACTTCCTTTGGGCTTTGGTTTGTTCATGTTTTCATTCTGCATATTCTTGTAGTAGAGTGGAGGCATATCCTTTATTTGCACAATATAGTTTAAATAAAATATGAGCTTTCAGGTGTAGGAAACATACATGCAGTTATCTCCATGTAATCCTTTGAGATACTTGCTATGCATGGATAGTTTTCTTTCCAGCAGGGACAGTAACCCTACCTCTTTTAGCATGTCAAGTTTCAGATAAGTTTGCTGGGACTGAACTTCCACCTGACTCATCATTTTATTTGCAGGGTACTGCTTTGATGACCGGAAGCCTGACGGCCCTTGTCTTAAGATCCAATTCGCAAGGTTCCCTTTCACTTTGCCTGTCGCCCAGGATCATAGGAAGCGGTAGCGGTGTAGCCTGTGCAATGGGCACCGTAGATGGTCTATGATCAGCATGTATGTAACTGGAACGATCTGTTAAATGAAGATGCATGTTATCAGGAGTCTCGCGTGACACCAACACATGGAATGATAGGAATGCGCCTTTATTTGGCCCCATTCATGCCTTCTTTTCTATCATAGATTTTCTTTTTTCTTTTCGCTACCATCAAATATGCTAGTGATAATTGGCATACATATTACCTGGTGGTGAGCACTGTACATGACGGCAGGTAAATGCCAAAAGCTTAAAGTATTCTGAGAAATGAGGATGACACCTTGTCGTGGTGCCGATCTGATCCCACTACCTCCACCAAGGTCCAGACTCCAGAGCTGTCACTCTTCAGGCAAGTGAGCAAGTTGCTGTCCGGCACAAAAGCCTTCGCCAGATGTCACGGTCACTCAGCTCCTCATCCGTGCGAATCTGAAGGCGGCGTGCGGACGACGGAGAGGTCAGCGGCGACCCCGGGTCGGCGAGGAGGACCTGCTTGTCCGGCGCATCCCGCCGTCGCCGTCACTCTGGACCGGAAACTCGCCGGAGTCTTGTGGTCCGGGGAGTGCCGGAAAATCTCGCCGCAGTTTCCAGGCTACCCGTATCCGTCGCCAAGTGCCAACGTGTTTGCCGTGGCTATTCAGCAGTCTCCGGTGGCATGGTGGCGTTTTGCTTGTGACTGGCCGTCCCTGTTCCTGTTGGCTGCTGCAGTGTTGCTGGTAACCATGGTTACAGTTGCTGCTACCCATGTGTGAGTTTATCCATCCACGGTTCAAGGGGCATTCATATCATTCCAATTTTGGCGCTTGCAGAAATGATAAGAGAGGGATGGCACCATACCGCTTGCACAGTTTGATGTTCCAGGGCACTAGTAGGGAAATAATCTAGAAAATCATGTTGCCAATCATTAGTGCATGGGCTCTGTAGATACGGCGGCGGCGGCGCTCTGGGCGCCCAATCCGGGAGTCCGGAGGTTGGAGATTGGAATGGTGCAGGCCTGTCATTGGCACGAAAGCTATCTGCTGCCGTCCATGCCAGGGCAGAGGGCACACTGACGCTTCCAGGATCTACACAAGGTAGAGGTACCATCAGGCCTTCAGTCTTGCAAAAGGAGACAAGTAGTCAAGCAATTTTCTCAGGACAGGTGCTACTCTCATAATTCCTCTCCCTTAAAAGATTAGCTTAGCACACACAAAAAAAGATTAGCACAGAGAAGGAGACAGCAAACTCCCATCTATTAATGTTGCTCGGCTTATTAGGGACCCATTTAGTTCGTACTAGTATTTCTCAAAACTAAAGCTCTTCAAAAATACAGCTTACAGAGAGTCAGGAAGGAGCTCCGGGCCCACAATCAGAGGACAATGTTCACCTACTACGAATGTACAATCCTGGTCCTTCTCGTTGGCTCATCAATTTTCACCAAAACCTTGTCTGGATTTCATTTCACTCCTTTTGTGCACAAGGTTTTCAATGGCATTGACTTGATAGCACACGTGCCGGACACCAATTATGTCGTGCTTTCAGATTTGAGAATAACGCAGAGAGGAGGAAAAGTAAGCACAAGTTCAGAAAAGCAGAGCCTCAAAAGGAGAGGAGAGGAAGTACTCCGTAAGCGCTGCTGCGCTGTGCAGAACATAAGGTGCCAACCTCCACTTCAGATTTCCGAAGGAGACCACCAGCTCTGCACAACCAGCCCGTCCACTCCCCTCCTTTCCCCCGCGCGTCTGCTCCGTCCTCCGTGCTCCGGCGAGGAATCCGGCGCCGCCGCCGGACAGACTTCCGATGGCGACGCCACGGAAGCCAATCAAGCTCACGCTGCCGTCCCACGAGACCACCATCGGCAAATTCTTGTAGGCTTTCACCTTTCAGCTTCCCCTTTGCTTTCTTTCTCGGCTCTTTTACCTTTCAGCTTCCCCTTTGCTTTCTTTCTCGGCTCTTTTCTTGTTCTGCTGATTAATCGCCTGGCGTTGGTTATTGGGGCTCATCAACCTTTGGGTTCCGGGCAGGACGCACAGCGGGACGTTCAAGGACGGGGATCTGCTCGTCAACAAGGACGGCCTCCGCATCGTCTCGCAGAGTGAGGGAGGCGAGGTAAGCCGCCCGCACCCAGCCACACAGGACTAAAAATCGCGTCTTGGCTTCATACGTCTGGAAATCGTAGGATCGGGATAGCTAACATTGGCTCTTGTATTCGTCTCTCTTGAGAGCGCTGGGATATGAATGATTGCTTCGTCAGGTCAGGTAGAGATAGGTGTTCTGGATTCACATTTTAATAAGCTCTGTTTGTTCGTGGAATTGGTACGCGTACGCCCTGTCTCCGGGAATCAGGGCGTTGCTCAGTGATAATTCCGTCGCATTTTTTTTTTCATATTTCTTCACGGTGATATAAAGCAGTTGGCAAACATGTAGATATTTTAGGCAAAGTTCTGCACTACTAGCATTTTCACTTCACAAAAGTTCCGTAATAGCATGTCTGCATATGCTGTCGTTTCCGTCCCCTAATTATCTAGTCAAGATACTGATTTGGGGAAAACGATATGTAGCCTTGTGGCATTTTTAAGACTTGTTCAGTTTGATGACTGGGCGGCCATCCATTGGTACTCTAATTAAGATACTAGTTTATGGAAAACGATATGTATCTTTGTGGCTCTTGACAACTTTTCCGATTTGATGAGTGAGACACAATCACACAAATAAGGCACTAGCAATAAATATCTGTACGTGCTATGGTCTACTGGAATTATAGATGTATCTGTTAGCTGAATTTGTTCTGAATGAGACACAAATAGTGGGAAAAATGTTGTCTCATACCATTGTTAGTGTTTTGCTTTTTATTTACCTATTAAAAATTTCTGATATTGTTCCCACATTTTTTTCTGACTTGCTCAAAAATGTTCTTCAGGCTCCTCCTATAGAGCCACTGGATAGTCAACTGAGCTTAGATGATCTAGACGTTATAAAAGTGATCGGGAAAGGTAACAGCGGAAATGTGCAATTGGTCCGCCACAAATTTACTGGCCAGTTTTTTGCTCTGAAGGTATTTCCGACGCATTCATTCTTTCATGCTGCTTATTTATGGTTCTTTACAGTTAAGAGTTTTAGAATGATCTCTGTATTGTATCTACTTTGTGTACTCTTCCTAACTGTTGTAAAGGGTCTTCGCCTTCATCAGTCTGCCACTGTGTTCGCAGGTTATTCAACTAAATATTGATGAGAGTATACGCAAACAGATTGCCAAGGAGTTGAAAATAAACTTATCAACACAGTGCCAATATGTCGTTGTGTTCTATCAGTGCTTTTATGTCAATGGCGCCATTTCTATTGTTTTGGAGTACATGGACGGTGGTTCTCTTGCCGATTTCCTAAAGACTGTTAAAACCATTCCAGAGGACCACCTTGCTGCAATTTGTAAGCAGGCCAGTGACATGTGGCAGAAGCTAGCCATATTTTCTTTGCTACTAAAATGATACCTTAGCCTCACATGAACCTTCCATTAAAACTATACCTTTCTTGTGCAGGTATTAAAAGGACTGATACACTTGCATCATGAGAGGCACATTATACACAGAGATCTGAAACCATCAAATATATTGATAAATCATAGGGGTGAAGTAAAAATATCAGACTTCGGTGTAAGTGCCATTATTTCTAGTTCCTCTGGACGAGATACATTTACCGGCACATACAACTACATGGCGGTGAGTGCATATTTTTGGGTTCATAAATGCCTCTTCCAGTTTGGCATGAAATAGTTTTCACTTTATTAGTTCTGATGAACTGAAGCAAAATTGACAGCCTGAAAGAATCAGTGGCAAGAAGCATGGCTACATGAGTGATATCTGGAGTTTGGGGTTAGTGATTCTGGAATGTGCAACAGGAATTTTTCCATTTCCTCCTCGTGAAAGCTTTTACGAACTACTTGAAGCTGTTGTTGAACATCCGCCACCATCTGCACCATCAGAACAGTTTTCTCCGGAATTCTGCTCGTTCATTTCTTCATGGTACTGATACTGCTCCATTTACAATCTTATTTATAAATAATGAAATTACATGAGACCTGTTAGCGATTTGTTTTCCTTTAAAAACACAAACCTATCTTAAAACACCATAATAGAGGGACCTGCATTTTGACCTCATGGTTTTATTGCTCAAGTCAAATTTCATACTTTGTACATTACATATGCTGGTGGGAAAGCTTGTAGAAGGTAACGCCAAGAAAGTTTAGATCATATGTTGTATGACATGTTTCCATCTGTCCTTGATATGTTTTTGGTTATTCTCTATCTCTGGATTTTTCATGTGATCTGTCTGGAGGATACTATGTCTGATGTATGCATTTTCATTGTGATTTTCAGTATCCAGAAGGATGCTAATGATAGAAAATCAGCACAAGTCTTATTAGTATGTAAAAACCACCTTCACACCTACCATGTTATTCTAAGGAATCATCTGCAAAACTAGGCTATTTATATTACACTTGCCTGCCTGTTGCCTTTGATGCAGGATCATCCGTTCCTCAGCATGTACGATGACCTGCATGTTGATCTTGCTTCCTACTTTACTACTGCCGGATCTCCACTCGCCACCTTCAAGTAATAACAATCTCCTTACTGTCTCTCGGTATCCATTTATGCATAGAAGTGACACAATTGTATATTTTTACAGTTCCAGGCAACTCTGAAATGGCACGATGGCGAATGGCAGGCAGTTTCTCATCTGCTGAAAGGACTGGACTGGTAAACCCTTTGGCAGTTGATCTGTGTAGATCTGTAGTAGCTTACTTACACGAATGTTTCGAGTTTTCCCATTTTTTCCCTCACTTTTTGGACCAGGCTTGGGGTGTGTAATGAGCTGTAATGATCTTGTGTGTGTCAAGTTTGTGATTGGCCCGTGGCATCATAATACACACATGATATATACATGTATAGCATTCTAGGATCAATGAGCACTGAAGTTTTGCCAGCACCTTTTGCTCTTGTTTACACAATATAATGTATTGGCTTCCTCATGTACAACGATGGTCACCTTAACTAAAACCCTGTATTGGATCGACCATTTTCTCATTTGGAGCATGAGATAAATCCAAATGTATCTTTCTATCCTGTTCTCTACAATTGCCTGGTTCTACGTGTGAACCAGAGGCTAAAACTCTGTAAAGAAAAGAGATCTTTTACAATGACTGATCTCGTCGCCTACTGCTCTTTTGGGTCGATGTTTGTTTGTTTCCACCTGCGGATTGGTTTTTTTTCCAGTTCGTCAAAGTACTCAGTTCGTCCAAGGGAATGTCTTGCAGAGTCGCAGTACCTGTAGGCTGTAGTCGAGATATTTGGAGATCCCACTGCGAAGGTAGCAGCGCATCGAGCTTCGCCACTCCTTGCAGAGCTCGTGTGTATACTTAAGGGTGGGATTTGTGTGATTATAGTTGAAGGCAGCCGATGTAACCAAAGCATCTATTGTATGTGTAACCTTGATTTCTTTTACATTAGTCCCATGACAATGTAAATTTCACGTTTGTTCGAGAGAAAAAAAGAAGAAGAATCAGCTTATTTATCGACAGTCTGGACACCACAAGTTTTACTTCTGTTGGGGTTTGATTTGCTAAATAGCTTCTCTTCCCAGCAGGTTACTGCAAGGCTTCACTAATCAGCGAACTTGCTGTGATTAGAAAACAACGAACCATCTGTGATTTTTCTTTTTTCTTTTAAAAAATTGTTTACGTGACTTTTTATTTTTAGAAGGTCATAACCTTTGTACATAACATTTTATAGGAAAAAAAATTATCAACACAACTTTTTTATCATGACTTTTTCAATATAGCTTTTTACGTAATTTTATAGACAAGTCACAAGTTATCATGACATCTTTTCTACATAACCTTTGCAACCCAGTTTTTTTCATAATTGTCAGTGGACAAAGTTATCATAATAATTTCTCAACAAAATTTTTTCTAACTAAACTTTTATGAATAATGTAACTTTTTGTTATTCAATGTCTTTCAAAAAATTATACACAACTTATCTAGCACAATACTTTATATAATTTATCCTGAATAAATTTCTCAACCTAAAAAATGTTTAAATTATATAGAATAAAAATGGATGTTTACCTAAACAAGCCCGCGGTGGTTTCCCGAAGGAACCACCGTCCACGTCACCTAAAAAAAAATCTACCGTTGGATCTCGGGTTCGATGGACCAGATTTGCTCAATCGGATTCTACTGTGCCTAGCTTCTACTTGCTCCGTGCTGCTTTTGTTCACCTCCCTATGATTTGGGGTAGCTTCTTCAGAATCCGCCAGCTTTAGGTTTCTGACCGATCTGGATCCATTGAAACAGATATATATCCGGCCTTCTGCTTCCTCTTCTTCCCACGCTTTTCCCCGCACCGGCTCCCTCCCCGACCCCGACGCCTCTCCTTCCCCGTCTTCCGCACTCCTCCCGCACCACGCCGCCGCAGCTCGCGCCCCCGCCTCCCTTTCCCTGCTCCTCTATTCATCCTTCCTCCCCTTCCCCACTCCTCTATTCATCCTTCCTCTCTTGATCTCAACGCTGTCTCTCTCAAGGCCGCAGGCCGAGGGTGCCCACGGCGCTGCGCAAGCTAGGGCGGGCCCCGCGCTGGCGGCAGGTGCGGGCGGGGCGGACCTCGGCGCAGTGCGGGGCGAGCGCCCCCCTGGCGCCCGACGTGGAGGCCGCCGGCACGGGCTGGGTCCAGGCGCCGAGGCTGCTGGCGGCGCACCGGCACGACCAAACCTCACGCGACGGCTTCAGGCGCGAGAGCTCCAGGTGAAGCCGCTCTCTCTCTTGCTCCTCCTCTCCTTGGCTTGCTAAAAACACTATCTATTTTTCCTACAAACCCTACCTATCTTTGCTACAGGAAAACCTAGCTCCCGGTTCCGCTCAGCTCAGAAGGAATGAAGCTACGAAGTGTCGGCGCAATGATTTGAGCAACGATCAGGAGGTACGCAGTTCCCTTGGACATATTTTATTTATACAGGTTCTCTATTCATTTTGTTTCAATTCCACATTTAGTTTACTATTTAGCCAGCCAACCTGTATTTATTTATTTTTTACCAAATTTATACTAAAATGTTCCAGGTGCTCAGACCTTTTCCGAGACAACATTCAAAGACCACACTATTCATTAAAAAAATCCATGGTTAAGGGGTGTACGGTTAGTATAAAATATTTTTTACCATTATGCATTGATGTTTGTAGATGTATTTAATACAAGATAATAGGATGAAATAAATTTTTTTAAAGATACCATGAAATTCTAGAGGTTTTCTTCTCTTAACAATGGTTGCTATATTGAGTACTACCTACTTCTATTGACCAGCTACGTCCAAATACTCTACTACTATGGCTTGGTTGTAGACTGCCTCTTATTTCATAAGGCCCTTTATATAGAGTGTTCCTTTACTTGGTGGCGCTGCCTACAACCCAAAAATATCTTAGGCCAAACAGATTACATGTTGCGCCTTTCTAATTTATGTACGTCAACATATATTTTGTTGCCTTCAGTTTATGATGGAAAAGTATTTTGTCCTATGTGTTTTCATTATTTTCCTTCCTTTTCTAGATAAGGCATTCAGCTTACACTTATATGGTACCAACCATGTCCTATGTGTTTTCATTAAATGCTATCTAGCTTGCCTACTCGCTAGGGATACGAGGTAGACATGCTTCTTCATGTCAATTTACTTCCAATAGTGAATCTCGGTCTTCGACAGTTTGAGCTAACTTTGTTTCTTTTGTTGTCCTTTTGATTTAGAGTTCTTGGTTAGTCTTGAAGAAATATGGAGCAGTTGTTTTTTTCTTTTTTTTGAATAGGAACCACGCAGGTTCTTCGCATCGTACTGCCTCTTCAACAACAATGTGAAGTTTTGTATGCCTTGATATAGACCTACACCAATGAAAGTAGACCAACTCAACTAAGCTTATGGATTTCACTCTCGTATGTGTTAGCACTCTTACGACCATGATATTTTATTTAGTTGCACATGATATATCATATTGATCCCTAATTCCATTAGTCTTTCTATCCGTAATTTTACCTAGCCTAATAGTTCCTTTTGTTTTTATGGCCAACAAATGCGATTTGGGAAGAGTATAATTGGAGTGCTTCATTCACATTTAGCAAACAAGGTAACCTCCAATTCATATTGCTCCTCTATTTCATGTAGTATCTCAGTTGAGTTGTTTGGGTATTAAAAATAGAAACTCGATAAATATTTTTCCTTATAAATTTCTGTCATTTTACCATGTCTAAACTTTGACGCTCATGTTTCTCACATCCCTCAACCATGGCAGCAAATTGGCGAGCGGAACTACAGCTATGATTCAAGCAGTCCCATGAATGCAACCCTTCTGAATCCAGGTCTCTGTCTGATGCCCCTAGCTACTTTCCCTCCATCTCCCTTTCCTCGTGTTTACGTGATTAGAAAAAGAGAGGATTCAAGAGTTCTCATGGAAAAATTTATGAATAAAATGGGTTCTGATTATTACGAATTGATGGCTTCCATTCCAAAGCTCAATCGATTAGCTCTTTTTTTTTTCTCAAAACAACGCAGAAAAGCTCAGATCGTTTAGTTAAGAAGAATCCATTAGCTCTTGAATTGAAACCAATTTATTTAGTCGATTTGGGGACACGCAATCTGTTTATATGGCCATGCATTTTTCCTCACAAAATTCAGAGTTAAAGTTTCTTGATATGCAATGTTCCAAAAAGAATAATTATTCCTGTCATTTGGCTTTAGCTTCCCATGGGCAAGTAATACTTATGATAATGACCAGCCAAAACTACTACAAAGATATTGAGTTAGGGATATCCTATGAGCCACATTTGTTCCGCACATCAATATTGTATTTTATTGACAGCCTAATTTTACATATGTGCTCTCATCAGTCAAGTTATTAGCAGTGCCATGCGAAATTTTATCGTATCTGATTTACTGGTACCAACCAAGAGCCAATTCGGCATTAGATTTTCTGTACTTCTAATTCGACATTTTGTTTCCCTAAATGTCATAATGAAAGGTCAGATGTATGTCATGGTCAGCTTAGTTATGGAGAGAGTATTGGCTCAGCTATGTCAATTATCCTTATATGAGCTTCTATGAATTTTTTTACTAACTTGCCCAACCATTTAAAGGACTGATCATCTACACACCTATTCGATTTGTAGTGGGAGCCAACAGACCAGGGCAATGTGCGCGGATGTGGCTTCCATCTATTCTGATTGGTAATTGAATTGTCAGGTACGGTTGAATTACTTCTGCATATCTGTCTTTACAGTGATTTACTATAGCTTTCAGTTTGATCCAAAGAAATTGGCCAAACCTACTGTATTGGTGGTGTCTGAATATTGGTTCATCCTGTTGGTGTGTCGAACCTAATATTTTTGAGTGATCCACAAATTCTTTGTATGATGTGTAGATTACTATTGCATATGCTACGCTCTTTAGAGAATATGTGGTTCTATTTTGCCAACTTCATATTCTACTATGGGCTAGAGCAAATTTATGCATGCTTACATTCTTCTAAAGAGTAATCTGTTTTCTATTAATTAACAGTAAATGTCAGAGAGACAGTCGATACC